TCGTATAGGCGCCATGTCACATTTCGACTAAAAACATACATTTCAGTAGACTTACCTTGCATGTTTCTCCAAATCTTGAAATTCGGTTAATTTTCCCAGCCTGGTGTATGCTCAATCGCAGCAAACCCTTCTTCACACTCTAAGGGGGACCGTATGTTACAACTGGCCCTTAAGGTACGCGGGCGTGGGCACAAGGTGTATCTATAGGCACAGTAGCGTACGCAGGATTTTCGTTCGGTTAGGGTTTTACCCGTGTAAATAATTTACTATATTTGTTGCTAAACAGTTTTAATATAATTGGTTATAACAAATTATAGTTAGTCTTCATTTAGAATACTCGAGTGTTTAACCTGGACATCTGGTCATCATTCTATAGCCTCTTCGTGTCGTGGTAATAATCGATGGACGATGATACACCATACAACGATTGTGGTAGACGTTTAGCAATGTTCTAAATCAGCCAATAAAAAACTGAAACTATGATTATCGACGTCTTTGTCATATTTAACAATTGATTTTATATCTATTAAAAATTACCATCAATTTATGGTAATTGTAATATAACTGTGTATTATGAAATGGGGGTAAATATGATTTTTTTTGTAAAAGGAAGACATTTCAGGGGGGGTTAGAACCCTAGAACCCTACCCCTGCGTACGCCACTGTAATAGGCATTTCTAAAGATTTTGTAACTGGGAGCTTTTAAGTCAAGCACCTGTCATTTGAATTTTTCTAAATAATATGTACACATCTACAAAATGTATGAAAATATATTAAATAGTATATTATATTATCAGTAAAGAAGCTCTAATGCCCGTATGCATAGTCAATTTATGTGTCACATAACACATAGTTTAACATGTTTTATGTGAAATATAAATTGATTATGTATACGGGCGTAATTATTGCTCTAAATGTATTAATAGTATAGTAAAATGTTCTATGAAATCCTATTTTGTATATTTCTGGAGAAATATAAGCTTTACTACTGGTTGATCGGGATTGTATACTTATAGTAAAAAGAGTAGCGAGGCAGAATCTGATTTATGAAGCCGATAAATATTACACACTAGGTAAGTATTGCTTAAAATTCTGGTTTGATCACTTAAATGCGCTATTACAATATCAGTCGTACTTGGCGCACACGACTGATGCGTGGTTATCTTTTCGAAATCTTACATTCGCGATGCACGGGTATCCGTATACAGCGTGTGTGTGTGTGTGTGAGTGCATGTGGTACTATAAATTATTTTATATTTGTTAACACCTTGAGTGCTGGTTTGATTGCATAACAATATTATTGCCCGTTATTTTTTATTGGTTCTGTAAATTTTTTTTTTTTCTTGCTACGAATCGGATGGGCCGCTGCACTACCTACCACCCGCCACACCGTAATGTGTCGATAAGTAGGTATATTGTCTAATTATTGAGAGTCATCGTTCGTTCGATAAACGTACTTACTTGATCTTGCAAATTGATCGCCCCCCGCCCGTGTGTATAATATGGTATATATTATATTATATTATACAGGTACCTAATCGGCATTTTTTGCTACTTATCTCAATTATTACGGTACCTGTATGATACATAAAATATGATATACCCGCGCGTATCGCGTTTTTTACTATTAAAATCACATGCCGTTCATAAAATATATTGAGGTCTTTATTATAAATGAGTATATTATATTATTTTTCTCATGCCATTATTTAATATGTTATCTTTTACCCGTATTATATTTATTATATTATTACTTTTTAATAATATGTGTTATATTATATTGATGTACACTAATGAATTTACGGTAGTTGTCCGTTATAATACTAAATCTCGCGGAAAAATGTCTTTATATGGGTAAATCGATTGAAAAAGATATTGCTTATTTTATTTTTTTACATACAACGAGTTTAATATTGAACTGAAATGCATTGCAGGATTCTTTAATTATTCATTAATTATCTGCCAACGACGTACAATACTAGACGATTTTACATCAAAAGTTTAATTTAAAATGATTTATTAATGTATTGATGTTTGTTCTTCGTGTGTTCAATTGTTTTGAGTTGGGCTAAGAATAATAACTTCCTAGTTTTGAAATATGTGTTCGGAATACAGTGAGCGTTTTCGATTATTCCGGTACGTGTCATAAAAAAGAAATAGTAAAAGTAAACAAAAACCGTGTCCAATATTTTGTTTCTGGCGATAGTAGAATACGTGTACTTATATCGTATTTGGTAACTTGTAGCCTATCGTGGTACTCGGGTTTCAATAGTGTTTCTCTATAAATTGACCTTATCACTTATTGGTGCATTGCGTTATTTTGAAGTTGCACACTTGCAAGCTCGATAATATAATTTTAATAGTGCCACGTGAAAAAAGCGCCGCCGTCTAAATCGAATAAAATATTATATTATTTTACTTACTTTGCTTGGAGAGTTGACCTCGATGAAATCCGTACGGTCGTCAAGAGATCACAATAATTCTGTTGTAAGCAATAAGTTGTTGCCTTCTTTGTAGTACTTATACAGAACGCTGCGAAATGCATGCGCGCTGGCCCGGCGGGGAGGCACGTCTTATTAGTTATTAAGTTATTATCTATTGTAATCAATCTCTGTCCGTCTCTCTCGGATATGCACATGCACATGCATTAATATAATATAACACGTCGAGGCCCGGTGACTATAACTATATATATATATGTATTTGAGTACATAACGTTATGCACTCGTACCGTCGCTCACCATTTTTATAGATATTAGTCTCGATGCGTCATAAATTCGTCCTTGGAGTTGATTGATCACAATGCATTTTGATTGCACTCCGACTGCCTGGCCACTCCTATACCTATAATAATACACAACCATGGCACTGATATATTACGATTTTATCGTATGCCGTTGTTATAGTTTACGTAGTGACGTTTAACGATGTGCTAATAATTATTCTATAAAGATTAATAACGCCGATTCCTCAACAAGTGTGTCTTTTTTAGTTATTTAAAATTCACATTTTTACCAGTGTCAATGGAAACGATGTTGGGGTTTGTCGGTTATGGGTAGAAAAATCTAGGCCAACATATTTTTTTTACGACTATTTGTATCGTACAATTACTATTCATTATAAAATAAGTTGAACGATGTTACACTCGATTATACGGTGTATACATTTACATCAGAATATTTCCAAATTTTAACTTGGTAGTGTATTTCCCCGATTCGTAATAATAATAATCTATTTTAATAAAAGCGCACAAAGATAATCCATGTACAAAAATAATAATCGTCCGCCTTGTATATCTTATCTAAATTCTAAATCTTATCTTAATATTTCATGATCACAATGTCCCCGGTCTCAATCGTCTGCTACAAATACTTGGGGGCCGGTTTATTATAGGATGGTGATTATTGCGTTAATCGATTGTTAATAGACAAGTAGACGACAGTCGTGAGTCGATACTCGTCAGTCGTGAGTCCGTCATTCGATAGCCGAGAGCCTTTTTTTTTGTCTTCCTGTAATAAGACGTGTCGTTTTTTTGAAATCAAAAATTTTAAGCACTCTTGACCGAGTAAAAGTTGATTAACGGACTATGAGCCCTCGAAAATTGAAATTGCAAAGTTATTTTGTGTTAAAAATAAAAATTATTTTTCTCTCTAAAAAAACGTTTTGCATTCATTCGTCTGAATTGGAACTGAATCATTTTTTTATTTCATAACGTGTAACCCGCGTAGGAATTGCAATTTATTTTAATAATACTTAATTTTAGAACAAAACCGTGGCTCGATCACCATTACCCGAATAATACATAACATTTTAGAAGTTGAATTTGCCGTTATTCGATTTGACTATTGAACCCACAGTTTGTGTTTTAAATTTGTAAGTATGATGTTAATAGTTGTATCATTGAGATTATTCAATCCACACGTCTTATATTTTATGTTGAAATGTACTACGTATGCATATTTAGTATAGTAATATCTTTTTTATAACGATTTAAATGTGATCCTTCCAACAGCGATCTTGTTTTAATATGCTAATATAATACGTATACGGTTATATTTAAATCCTATTCTGTATAGTTTTTTATATTTAGAATAATTACTTGGGGAAAACCTTAAATCGCCGTTGCTGTAGTTCTCAAGGGCCTTTTTCCAACTGAAAATAACTTATGAAATTTTTCTACTTCTACTCCATAACTACTAACAACGCATACCTAATACAAGTTTTAAATTATTTAGGTATTTTTAACGATTTGTAATTACAAGGTCTATAAAAAAAATTATAATATATTCATGTTATTTATCGTTATATCCTAGTATATTTTTTCAAACATAATCCACAGTATTCCCCATAATATGCGACATAAAAGTTTTTTGGAATTTTTTTATTGAAACATTTGATCGTTTTCGCCTAATTGTGTTCCTAACCTATATAATGTATTGAGTAAATACATATATATGGTATCCATATTTTTTTCATACCTACTGTTTATATACTTAGTGTAATAGGTAGGTAGGTACTACAGTTTTATTACAAAAACTATAAATGTTACCTATTTATTTAATGTAGCTACTTTTTTATATCACAGATGTTCTGATTAAAAAGAATCCATTTTTATTTGTCGATGAATTAACGTTTTTAATGGTCTATTGTATTAATATCGAAGGTAAAATACTTCTATAATCGTGCTTGTTAATCAATTCACTGTATACTGACTACCTCGTAATATTATGTGTGTTGAACTAAATTTGCTGTAGAGTTTTTAACTATGATTTTTTTTTTCATATTTTCTATACACTCGTACTCAAAAGTGTAATGAGAATGTACACGTTTTCAGTTTAAAATTTATAAATATATTAAAAACTTAAAAACATAGATGGTCGGTTATAAATGTTTAATTTTCATATGAATCCAATAAACTAGCACTGATCATGGATTTTATGTTTATGCAAACGAATATAGTCCATGTTTTTTATGTTGAGGTAGGTTTATAAATATTCAAAATGGCTGATTTAAAACACTTTTTAGCTGAATTAGCGTTTTTGTTGACACAATATCATGTAATATTTTTTTTAAGCACGTCGTTTCTTGGTATAAAATTGTTCTATGAAACTAGTAAAAGAATATGAATAGTCAAATTTCCCACTTAGAAAATAACAATTATTACCTAGGTGTCATTTGTTTCCGGCTGACTAGTTTGAATCATTATTGTTTACTATATATTGTCTTACTATATTATTGCAGTCTGTAACTCGAGACAAATGTCAAGTACAAGTCTGGGCTTACCTCGGTGACTTCAGAATATTCACCACCAACAAGAAGGTTGCAGGCGCCCCTTCAGAATACTGCCTATGTTTAGTGCCTGACAGTGGCATAAAGCAGTACATTGCGTGCAGTTCCATTACAACGCAATCTTATTGGATGTGCGCTATGAGATTGTCGAAAGTGAGTATTAAACTATTTTGTTGAATAAATAGTTGGTAATTGATTGCTTAGATATTGACTTAATACATCTGTTTGTTGTTATGTAGTATGGAAAGCAACTAAGAGACAACTACAGATCATTTGTGAAAAAGCACAACGATGCTAATGAATATGAATACAACAAGAAGCCATTGCCCAACGAAAGCGTACGGTCCCACGTAGCTATGGACTTTTCCGGAAACGTTGGTCGTATCGTAGAGGATCCCAAAGAAGCACTTGCCATTGCTCAAGCAGAGACTGGTAGTGTGCGGCGAAGCTGGAGATCCAGTGGCCGAACTACTCCTGGTCTTCAAGCAGCTGTCACAAAACTTGAAAATGATATTCACTTGTCTCAGCCATGGTATCATAAAAACATGAGCCGTGATCAAGCTGCTCATGTCCTTCATGCACTTGGGAACAAAGATGGGTAAGTACACATAATTTATTTATAAAATAATAACTATTCATCTGAACTTATCTGAAAAAAAAATTGCAGGGTGTTTTTAATACGAGAGAGCAAAAGTAAATGTGGATCGTATGTACTATCATTCAAATGTGGTGGTAAAATTATCCATACACCTATAATAGCAGTATGTATTCAAATTCATTTATTAATTTCCTCGTTATTTGATTACAATTGGTCAAATTTTAAAATTATTTATTTATTTTTACAGCAAATGGATCCACTTAACGATCAAGTTTGTTTTACGCTAGACAACGGTGTGATCAAATTTTATGACCTTTTACAACTAGTAGAGTTTTATCAATTAAATGCAGGTAGTCTGCCCACCCGACTGATGCACTATGTTGTCCAAGTACCAGTCACCAAATGAAATTTGCATTAATACAATGCACAGACGACATACACAGTTCCTGTTGACACAAAATATTCTCATCCAAAAGGTGTGTGACCTATAAAATAATGACACAATTCTACAGGTGAAATACCTACGGTTTAGGTATTTTAATCATCTCGACCATCAAATAATTACTAATTATTTATCTTTTTCTTTTTTCTCTTTTTTCTTTTTCCAATGTAACATAACGTTATTGAAAAAAATTTGACTGAATCGTTAAAAACATCTACCGTTTGCACTGTTCGGACTCAAAAATTTTTTATTTCTGTGTTACAATTAGTTATTAACGTGTAATCCTAATGGATATAATAATTTTGCGCGATCAGTTCCTAGATTAACTAGTTCGTAACATTCAATCAAGCACCTTTAGGACTTATAATTTAATTGTAATATTAGAGAGAATAATAATAATAATAATAATAATAAAAAAATCATTAATAATATTATTGTCATTTAAAATAATATAATATTTATATTGTGATAATTTTTGTCTTGCATTTAAGCGTGACAGACCAAATATTTAGCATGTAAGCATACCTAATAATAAATGGTAATAACATATTCTATTTAACTTATTTAACATGGTATTCAGTAGTCAATGTAAAAGCAATAATAATTGTTATTATGAACTTTGTAAGATCCTTTAAAAAAAAAACAAAAAAATTGAAAAGTAGTTTACGACATATATTATGTGTGTGTATTTATATATATATTATATATGTTTATATGTATCTATAGATAGTGTGGACTATGTTATTTTTCTCAATAGCTCATTTAGCTTACACGAGAAAATGGAAAAATACTATTGTCCACTCTGAATACTTTATGCATGTTAGTAAAGCAAGCAGTATCTACCTTCTATAATATAGCATATCAAAATGAATAAACACTGTATACAGCCAGCTCTTGAAATAGTAATAAATCATATTATTACCTGTACGATACCATTTTAATCATATCTGTATGTCACACAATTGTTTAACCATTTAATAGTTTTTAAAATGACTATTTTATTTTTCATGTATTCTTATCGTTATTTTTGTAAAACATTTTGAGACGTGCATGGTATGGTTGGTAGATAACTTTTAACACCTACTGGTCGACTTTTTGTATTGTATTCCATCTGAAGAGTGAAGACGACTAAAGTCAACGCATTGTATCCTGTTTTACTGCTCACACTGTAACACTTTAATATCCAATATTATAATAATATATACCGTACAGATATGATCTCAAATTCTTCTCCCGTGGTAATATACTATTTTCCCTTCAAGATGTGGATTACCGTTAGGTATTATTAAATATTTATTTGTTAATAGGATAATAATTTAAGACACACACTTTATCATGATATTATATAATATTATAATAATGTAAAATATGAAAGCTTTCATACAAATATATTTGAATGTATGTATGTATAAACCTTTGTGCTGTTGTCATAATTATTAGTTTACAAAATTCCCAGTATTGTAATTTGACATTTATGCAATAACTACTAAAAATAAAAATAACATAGGAACAATATAATTGTACCTAATTAATTTCGATGTACAAATAAATGTAGTTGTTAATACATACATACATGCACACATACCTATTATAGCATTTCAGTTCTGAATATCTACACTATACATGTGTCGTGTATTAATGGTATGTGTTTGTTTGTTTTCATGAAATTGAGTATATATTTATGTATTATAAGTATAAAAGTATATACATATATATATATATCAAGCAATCAATAGGTGATGACATTATTAATATTATAAAAGTTGATTCCATACTCCTTTCAAGGTGATAAAAATTCATGTAAATGTGGAAACAAATGTGATAAGCGCAGTGCAATTAAATAAATATATACATGCGATAAAAATAATATTCTTTTTCATAATAATTATAACGTTTAGAATATATAATATAACAATAAAAAAAAAAAAAAATTATATATTATCAAGTCAATGTTTATGTGATCATTAAAGTACAAAAGACCCATTAATTTTAATTTATTTTTTTCCTTGTGTAGTATTACAATATTATTATTTTGTTTTGATTAATTTCAAATGAAAATACGGATTATGGTATGGTCGTGTTTTGTATATCGACATTTTGTGTTCCTACGAATTGTTATTATGAAAAAAGAATTGTATAATTATATTGTATGATTATTATAATTTTTAATTTATTAATTTTTACAATATCTTACGTTCAATGATGTACCATGTATTGTAATTCAATAATGTTTAGTTGATAAGTATTATTTAAAAAGAAATTATATTATTGTATTATTTGTATTTTGATGAAACTCTGCTCCCTCCCTTCCAATAGTTAATTTTTATAGACAATCAAATCCTAGACAGTTTAAAAATAAAACTACTATTATATTATTTTTTTTCCATATGATATTGTATTTAATTATGAAATAGAAAATACAATATAACTTATTGTTGTGATTTTTGGTGCGTGTAAATGTTATGAAGAAATCTGTACACTGATATGTCTTGTGCAAACTTTGGATTCGATAAACAATGATGAAAATTATGAAATGTCATTTTTTTGACAATGCATGTTTTCTCTATAATAATAACTAACTTGGATTTTTGTATGAGTACTAGATTTAAGTAAAAAAAAAACTTCATAAACTATTGAAACTTCTGTGGACACATCTTTGTACAGTTTTTTTGACTAATTATTTATTTTTGTATTATATCAATACAATGTTTGTATATTTTCTATTTACGTCTTAATCAAGATATTGCGTTGTAACATGACCAAACAGAGTTCATGAAATTTGGATGGTTCTGTCATCTAATCTTTGACCTCATTGAAAAAAAATAGATACAACTGTATCATTAATTATATTGATTATTATGAATAGAGGAAGCAAATGCACAAGTAGATAAAAATGTATGAAAAAAATTTGTTTTGTTAATAATCTCTCTTATTCTCCGTCTCCCTCTCAAATAAAAACATTCACACAGGAAGAATATTATCAAAAAAATCGTGTATGTCCCTCTACTGTTAATAATTTGTGAAGTGTGTATTATAATGATGTGTTTCAAGGGGATTAATCAATCCACTCGCATTTTTATCAATACTATAAGGGCACTGCGTAGTACATAAAGTGCACACCGATAAAACCATTATTGCGCAGCAAAATTAAAAAATCTATTTGTGTCAATAGTTGAGAAAGAAACCATTTCTCATTGAATTATTCTCGAGCTTTGTTCTTGTTGTTAATGTTCAAATCACATGCATTCAATGTTTTCTATGGGTAGAAGAGCAAAAACACGTATGATTTTTGAAAAATTTCTCCGGTCAAATCAATTGTGATTCGTGTTTCAAGTAGGTACCTATATCATAAAAAGTATAGTGCAATATATACAAATATTGTTATCTCATTGAAATTATATCGTTGCGTAGTATAAAGTCATAACAAGTACGTACATTATTATTTTATTAGTACATATTATTATGATAAAAATTGTTTTTGCTCCAACATATTTTTAGATGCCATAGTAGGAAATAATATAATATTTATGATATACAAATAAGTGACTTCATTTTAACAGGGCCTCCGACTACTACTGATGAATTCTAAGGAACATTTTATATGCAATTTCTCATACATCCGGCATTTTCGTTGTATTATTAGTCGTAAATGATCGATATAGTACAAGTAACCAGCATCTGATTTTTCTAGGAACGGTATAATATTTGCAGTAGCGGCACAGAGGGATCTTGAACGCACATGTCTGAGTATAATTTTGTGTAAAAAACGTAAATTTTTTTAACTGAAACTTATCTCAACAATACGTCGCAACGATCGCGTTGATTTGCAATCCGACAAAATATTCTAATTTTCCACAACATGTACGAGAGATCGATCGGAGCATATTTTTACAATTGTATTTAGTCGATTAAAAATGTGGCGCGATCGATCCTTTGTACATATTATAATGTTAAGGAAAATCTGAAAATTTTTTCTGAATGAAAATCGTGATAATTGTTGACGCGTATCGTTGGAATTAGAAACAATAGTTTTTCACAAAGGAAAAGCGCATTTATGAAGTCCCTTAAAAGCATTGGTATCATCTATAATTTATTTGACACAGTTTTTTTCCAATTAACCGAACTATAAAATCGGATGGGTATAATTTTAAATTGAACGTGACCTTATTTTTCAATTGACATTTTCCCTGTCAAAATAAAACAACGAAAAATGGGTTTTACAAACATTTAGAGTGAAAATATAATATGAATTATGAACCTAATTATATTGACTAAAACTTTGGTTACGGCTCTGCAGAAATAGTGTCCTTTCTACATTATAATGTCGATCATTGCTTCATCTATTTGATATGTACATTGGTCATTGACAAAGTGAACGTACGAAAGAGCTGACATGGTTCTTACTGCAGAAGAGAACGATAATTATTTTTGTTTATGCATTTACTGTTTCACTCGTGTCACTTGCTAGTTACTTGGATTAGTTATGTTATTATGTATATTAGAACACATAACTACAAAAGTACTTATTTAAATTTAATTACTAGCTGATTTTATAAGTGATAGAGGGAATCAACAAAAAAAAAAAACACATAAATAACCTCTTTTATATTTATAAAAAGCTGACAGAATATAATTGAAATTTGTTCATAAGTAATTTTATAAAGCTAGTGTAGGAGGTTTCGCGCACGAAATGGTAGCTCTGGCATAGATTTATGACTAAACGTTTACGTGTTACTCAGAGGTCATAATTCATAACAGTACTGTCCCTTGTCAGTACAACACTGTATAACAATAATGTTTCTCACACAAACTTAACAATTTTGAATATTTAAATTTTCGTATATTAATAATATTTAGTTAAAAATTTTAATAAAAATGTATAGGTTTGCTTCATAATTCATTTAAAATCGATTCCAGAAATTGTATGGAATAACTTGGTTGGTTGGTCATTACTCATTAGACAT